GCCAGGTTGTGGTGGCAGGGCAGGGCTACAGGGGTGGCTTTTGTGAGAAGCTGCTGGAAGCTTCCCTATGTGTGACAGAGGCAGTGCCAGTGGGCTCCAGGATGGATCCAGCACTGGCCAAGGCTGAGCCCAGTGATGGCAGTATTACCCCTGGGATAATATATTTAAGAAGGGAAAAAAAATATTGCAGAGAAGTAATTGTGGCCAGAGAACAGAGGAGTGAGAATATGTGAGATAAGTCTTGCAGACGCCAAGATCAGTGAAGAAGGAGGAGAAGGATCTGCTCCAGGTGCCGGAGCTGCGATCCCCCTGCAGGCTGTGATGAAGCAGCGGTGCCCCTGCAGCTCATGGAGGGCCACAGGTGTGTAGGATTCACCCACAGCCTGTGGAGGAGCCCCACACCACCTTGAAGTATTGTACCCTGTGAAAAGGAACCCACTCTGGAGCAGTTTGTGAGGAGCTGAAGACTATGCCCAGGGGAAGAACTCACACTGGAGGACTGCCCCCGCCCACAGGAAGGATCCCACACTGGAGCAGGGGCAGGACTCCTCTCTTTGAGGAGGAAGCTGTGGCAGAAGCTTGTGATGAGCTGACCATAATCCATTCCCCATCTCCCTGTGCAGCTGAGAGGAAGGAGGCAGAGAATTGGGAGTAAAGTTAAGCCCAGGAAGGAGTGGGAGGTCAGGTGAAGGGGTTTTTTGCAGCTTTTGTTTTACCTTCATTGTGCATCTCTGATTTTGATGGGTAATAAATTCAAAGTAATTTCTCCAAGTGGAGGGTTTCTGATCTATAGTGGTAACTGATGAGTGATCTCTCCCCGTCCTTATGTACAAGGCACAAGCCTTTGATTGTATTTTCATCCTCATCACCAGCTGAGGATGGAATAGACAGAGCAGTTTTGGTGGGCTCCTGGCATCCAGCCACAGTCAAGCAGCCACAGCCAGTTAGACCAGTGTGGCAGCATTCTGCATGATTGGCATCCCTGCACTTTGGAAATAACTCACCTGAGCTCTGTGCCTTTCAGTATCTGGATTACAAAAAAGCTACTGGGTGACAATTACTTCTAATTGCTCTTAGCAAAGGTTGGATCTAAAGCAAATGGTTTTAGAGATGTGTGCTCCACTCAGCTGCCTGCATAAACTCTGCTTTTTGTTAGTCTGATTAGCAGTCCCAAACATTTAATGATTCGTTTGCTTCTTCCTCCACACATGTGCTTCCTTTTCATCAGCATTGGCACACACTGCACACAGTGTGGGGAAATGCAGATGTCTGAGATAACTGGCAGTGTAATAAACAGAATTAACTGACACTAAAATTGGAATGCTGGACAAGGACATCCATGAAAACAAAAGAACTGGCCTTCATGAAAGAATAACAATATGAAAATAGAACTTCTTTTTAGCAAAATAATTTTCGTGACTGGTCCCTTTGATGGAAACTTGTTGGAATAAATTTATTTCTGGCAAATGAGATGAGCAACTACCCTGTTCTGTAGAGGCTCAGTTTCCCAGCTCTCAAAGGTATTAGTGAAGATCTCTGTTTTTTCCATGAGAGCACTCACCTGGTGTTCCTTCAAGTATGTCTGGTCCTTAATGTGCCTTTCAGGGCCCATCATCCATGGTACTGTCATCCATTCAGGGCAGATCATCCATAGTTCTGATGATCTGCCTCATAATTGGTTCTGTCTAAATTGGCCAAATCTTCTAGCACCTCTCAATGGTCTGCACAGCTGAGCCAAAAACATCATTGCATGCACCAGTGCCCAGACTGTCCCACCCACTGCATGCTTCTTTGATGCTGGGAAAAAGCAGGAACATGCAACAGTGACATCCATCAAGGAAAGTGACTGTGACTGTGTGCTTTATATGTGATGATTTTTAACAGCTTATTTAGACTGTAATGTGTCAACATGAGAACTCAAGCATGGCAGTAGAAGATGTGCTTATGTCTTAGCAATATTTAACTATACAGTACTTAAGGGAGAACAAATGAGAGAACTGCAGGATAACTTTGGTGACATTGAATAAGCATAGTTATTTAGGAATAAATATGAAAATGGCAGTGGATAGCTACAGCAGTCATTAGCAGCATTGCTCTTTGAACCATGAGCAGCACAGTGTTATGGTTATGGCAGCAAATTCCTGAATTGTCCCAGTCTAGTAAGTCCTCAATATCCCTCCCTTGGCATTCTGGGCCCACAGTCCTGGCAGCTGATATGTTGAGAGGCCTTGGGGGCTGTTTACAAGTGTAACCATCAATTCTTAGGTGCTGGGATCTTCAACACTGATCCTCTTCTGCTGATCCTACCTTGGTAGTCTTTGTCTTTTTATACCTTCAAGGTGCTGTGACCTTCTGTACTTCTCAGTATATAGTTCTGTAATCTCTCAGAGAGATTATTCACTGCTTCTGTTGAGTCAGTTCATACTAAAGACAACTGGTCATTGTTGGTCACCGTGTCCTCACGCTGCAGCTCTTTTCCAGCAGTGACAATTCAATGAACCCATTTCTCTGTCCTCATGCCACAGCAGTCTTAATGACACTGTTATTGCACTATTTTCTTGTATTTTATTAATGGCCTTCAATCAGAAATGTTAAATTACTTTATTTTAGTTCAGCATTTCCTATACTGAGATCTTGCATTTGTGACCAGCTTTTTGGTTAGTTCTTATGTTTCTACAATGCCAAATATGTTTCTGCAGGGTCAGTCTTTCCAAGCCAGTCTTGACTTAGCAGTTCCCTGTACTTTGCTGTGATGACTTGAAGCCTTATACTGAAACCTTTCTTAGCTCAGAGAGGCCTGGCACAGCTTGGTTATTCTCAGCTCCCTGACACATACCCAATGCCCACTTGTTGTTTACAACTCTGTGAGACTCTCCTCTGCAGCTGAGGAACTTTCCATCTCTATTTGTTGAGCTCCATGATGTCCTGCCAGACCCCTTCTCCAACCTCTCATGATCCCTCTGAAAAGCAGCCATAACTTCCAGCATATTGCCAGCTCTCCTCATTTTCTCTTTTTACTGCTTTGCTTTTTTCTCCTTTGTCCATTCTCTACATTTTTTTGGGATGTGAGACCTAAGTAAGAGAGCCCAGTTGGCCTTTATGGCAGGGAAGGGTCAAGGGCCCCTTTAATGTATTGGAGTAGTGACATCCCCCTGCTCTGTTGTGGAAGAACAGCAGCCTGAGATAGCGCTCAGAGCTGCAGTGCAGGATGGAAAAGCACAGTGTGGTGTTGGATGCCACCTTCACCATGGGAGCAGTGACTGCTGAGGAAACACTCCTGTGTTGGGTGCTGGGCTGTGGGCATGGCCACCCATGTCCTGGGAAGTGCTTTGGAGAGCTCCTGTACTGTACGTACTCGAAACCGAAGTAACTGAAATAATGGGAGCACTGGCCTCTCTGAATCCCCCTTGCAGGAACACTGGATTGGAAATGTGTCTTCTTCATGATCTTGGTCCATGTGATTTGGCCAAAGGCTCTGATGTTTGAGAGTCCACACAGGGTGTACCCTGATGGCAGACTGCTTAACACAGCTCCACTGTGATGATTCTGGCAGTGAATTTACTGGCACAAAGCTGCTTGAGCCATGGATTGCATTGAGAGGTGTAACAAGATTTCTTGGCATCAACTGACCCATTTCTGGGAATAGATGGTATTTAAAAATGAGTATTCTGTGGCACAAGAACTACTGCCAGCTCATCACTCAGGACCATGCAGTGACCTTGCATTCAGATATTAATGGTTCAATAGTGGTTATTCTTCACCTAGTGGATAATAATTTCTTTGCCCTTCACCAACCCTGCTCTGACTGCTGGTGATCTGACATCTGAACCACTGTGCCATGGCTTTGGGGGTGGGTGGCCTTGGCCTGTGCAAGGCTGGAGATGACAGTCCAGCTGCAAGAGCATCCTCCAGAATCCTGCTGGGCCAGCTGCTCAATACCACCAGTCAGACCACCACCATACCATGTAAAAAACCCTCATTTTTTTCACTCAGAGGAAATTAATATAGTAGTAAGACCACTGCATTATGTTATTTATCAATTAATAATGTGTTATTATTATTAATTATAAAACATTAATTTTTGCAGTTATTACAACACACGTACATAAATGCACAACATGTTAATTATTTCAATGAAATCTTAACAATCTTAATATTTTAAAATAATTGCAGGTTTGGTAATCAAGGAAAAAATGGAAATCTCTGGCTTATTCCAGTGAATAAAGATAGTTTAGAAATTACACTAGCCTCCTTAGAGGAATTGCTTATTCGTTAAACATTATTAAAAGCTGTATTTCACCCTTTGAGTACCTAAAAAAGTGAAAGTGATAACACAGAAACTAGAAATCTATTATGGAAGTAAATTCTTAGTCTTGCAGCCATTAGGAGTGATTACTGAGGAAGTGTTTATGTACTGCTATCAGTATATTGTATATAATACAGATTCATAAATCTGCTGAAGAATGTAATTCATCATAACACTTATTTTACATAATACAGGTGAGCAGACCAAAGTAAAAAAATAGCTCTACAAATAAAACAACCTAAAGTATTCAGACCTGGAGTAGTTGGTTGATCAGATTTGTCACCTCCTCCCACAAGAAAACTGGTATCATGATATGGACAATCTGGGGTCACATTAAGTTTGCACTAATGGAAAGAAAAATATATATGGAACTAGATGGCATGTATGGGTTAATTAATTTATTTATTAGCATAATACAATTAAAATCCTGATTCAGCAAAGTATTTTTTTTAGCAAAACATATTTTACCTTTCACCATTGTCACAAAGTAGTCAGTACAGGTTCATTGCACTTTTATGTACATAAACATCTTCCCAGAGGACTCTATTTTTATGGAAATATCCTAAAGTAATTTTTCTGCTGTCATGCTTTAGACAGCATTATGCCAAAGCAAAAATTAGATTAAACTGTTTATATTTTTCAATCAAATTGAAGAAAACCAAAGGAACCAGTATTACATAAGACAAGAAACAAGTTTGGTTTTCAAATGTTTCTGCTTTAATGAATGATGGCAGCTAAAGGGGCAGATATTATTTTGCAACCTTTTAACATACCGGTAACATTTTGTAAACATTGCATTATACCTTTCCTGTTTCAACCCTCATTGAGCATCTCTCATTTTTCATCTTATACATTCTTCAGAACAGGATATGTTTGCTCAGTGTCTAGAACAAAAGGGCTCTTGATCTTAATTGGGCCTTTGGCTTCCAGGGTAATCTAAGCTATTAGGGAACAATTGCCTACAAGACTGTTAGCAGTATCAGCAAGGACATTTCAAAGGCCATTAACGCCAGCTAATGTTCATGTATCACATGAGAGGCTGCTATTACTATGAAGTTAAAAATGGCAGTAGCAAGACATTATTAAGCTTCTAAAATTCACTTTGCTTTTGTGGGCTAGGATTTTAATAACATCAAATTACTAGTTTATAATCTGAATCTTCTGATAATATATTGGATAGTAACTTGGTAGAAATGTGTGGGTCTCTAATGTCACTTCTATTTATCCTTTCCATCACCAGTGACCTACAAACTCCAAGCATAGAATCCTTTAGGGGATTCACGTCATTCTTGATATATGGAATCACTCTGCTCTTTAAGGCTGTATCTAGTGGTTTAGGAACTGTAATTCAGGCAAAGGCAAAATGTTCTTCCTGCAAAAGAAGCAGACAAATGTAGGGTTGTTAGAGTTTCATCCCGTGTGCTCTGTTTCTTCTTTAGTTACAGGAAATATCTAAAATCATAGGCACTGTGATGGGAAACTCAATTAAGAATGGACAATATAGTGTACATAAAGATTAGAAAAAGGAAGCAAATATAAATTAATTCAAAGGTAATGATAGTAATAAGCAATAATGGTAAAATGATTGTCTATAAATAACAGTTAATCAAATACTGTTGTACCTGCATATGTCATTTTGTGTCCTTACTGTCACAAGCTGTTGATTTGTAGCTGTGTCCCTTCTGTAAGTTTTTCTCTACATGAAAATACTCTCAGTATTGTTTAAAAGTCTCCATCTGGGCTACACCAAGCACATTGTTAGCTCAGGTTAAAGCATGCTCACATTATCTAAAAATTTGCAAATCTTCCAATAGCCTTCTTTATCATTTTTCCAGATAGGTAAGAGAGTTCTCATGTTGTTGATGTAACTCACTTAATGTCCCTTAGAGTGGACACAGTGAAGTTGCAATTGTGCAGGGATTTAAACTGAAGAACCTGTTGCCAGGCTGGGAAGATCCTGGAGCTCAGATGCTCTGTGATGGACACATCATCCCTACACTAATCAGGGTAATCACATAGGACTGAATTTCTTCATAGTTGGGATTATTTTATCTACTTTTTTTTAGTGATCTTGGGTTTTTTACCTCCTGGTATGCTATCTTTGGTCCTTTGAAGAGTTTTCCTCCTTTCTTCCTTTCCAAGTTCTACTTTTTACTTATGTCTCTTAGGTTCCCTTTGAAGTACCACCTACCCAGGAATCATGCCTTGTTGGGAGAACTCATTTTGAGCTCTCTTTTTTGGTGGCTAATATCATGGTTATTTTTTAAAGCAATCTTTTTTTTTTTTACCCAACCCCTAACTTTTTTTTTTTTTTTTTTTTTTTTTTTTTTTTTTTTTTTCTGTAAGGAGACTATGTAATTACTTGAAGAACACAACATAATCTGGCACTATGGACAGGCTGGGATTTATGGGAAAGCTCAGCTTTTAGGTGATAGGGCAATACGTGATTTTGCAGCCCTGAATGCATCCCTTCTACTCCCTGTTTTGCTCTCAGTTATTTTTGACTGTGCCCTCTGTCATCATAACTGCTTTTTTGTGATAATTGTAGCTTGTTAGAGTAGTAGTAACAGATAGGAAGAAACTTCCAGATTTAGACCTCTTCAGTGTCAGCAAGCTAATATGATGAGGGCTGAATTTATGGCTAGGAACCTACTTCCCGGTTTTAAAGGGCACTATCTTGTGCAATGTAGCTCGTCTGGGTACTTGATAAATTCAACTTACTTAATGAGGAATGTCCTGTGAAAAATGATACCGTATATCTTGTCCTTGTCTTGTTAAATGCGTCACCCAGAGGCATATTCAGAAGTCATGTAAATTTGATGAGGAGGAATTGGCTCCTTTTTTCCTAGTGCTCCAGATAAAACAGCTGGGAGCATAGGGATGTTATTACTAATAAAGGAATTGAAGAAGAATTTTGTCTTGATGATAAGATAGCATAAAAAAAAGAAAAAATATTTATCTAGAGGTTTATGCAAAACTCATAACTGCAGTATCTGAATATCAGTTTAACAATGAAGGCTGTCTTGAAAATGGAAAGTCCTCCTATTATGATTTACAAGGTAGCAAATTATTTGTTTCTTGCTAAAATCAGTACCCGGAAATACAAGCTTGCACATAGCACATCAGGCTAGTTTGGATGTTGTATTCACAGGTTGAGTTCCTGTTGGAGCAATATTAACCCTGAGAGTAAATAACTCTGAAAGTGTTAACTTAGAGAATAACTCATTAAAAATGCCATTGCATGAGGTAGCCTCCTGTTAGTGTACTCCAAGGTAGTCTACATGGAAGAGTTACCACAGAACGGTGAACTAGGCTATGAAAGCTGGCTTCCCAAACACCCTAAAATGTTTTCTGCCTTTTCTCTAGTAGTCTGAAATTAATCCAGATTCTTCAGTTTTTCTTATTTAAGATCAAATTAAAAGAGGAGATAATTAATTATACAAATAGCTATAAGTATTAGAAGTATTGGTGTGATATCCTCAGCTATAATTCATAAGAATCTGGCATGATTTTCAAAAATGTCAGTATGTCACTAAGGTTTACTCAATATTGTTTTACAAACAAGGCATTTGTATTCTCACAAATAAATATCATCCTTTCAAGTTCATGTTTCAGATATCACATTAATAAGATAAATTATAAAAGAGATTAGGAACATTGTAACTGTTGCTTTCTTTTACATGAAGTCATGTCAGTTGTGAAGCCTGTGTAGCAGGAAAGTGAAATGAGTTCTGTTCAACTACTAGAGCTCATTGAGCAATTAGATTTAAAGAAAAAGTATTCTTCCAGGTTCAGCTTTTGTTTTCTTGTGTAAAGAGAGAGAAAACAAAAAACTTTGAGAGCACTGATTGGTATATAAAGTATATGAGTAAAAGTTCATCTTTTGCTGTGATTATGTAATGGGTTTACATGAGATATTTTCAAACATTCAGTGGAAGTTTTTTAACTGGAACCCTGACATTACCCATATAATTTTTTCCTCTGAAACAGAGTCAGCAACTGCCACATACAGGATTTCAGCTTATACAGGATGGTCCAAATGCAGTGACAACAAGACTTAATTCTAGAATCTCCTGATTTACTTTTCTCAGATGGGTGTTGAAAGGAGCAATTTGTGAAACTCACCTGGATGAGGAAAAAAATGCCACATGTCCTAACCTGATATTTCCCATTATTGGAATTTTCTTGTCAAACATACTCCTTTAGCACCTCTTGTTCTGGCTTACAGAATTAACTTATTTCTCCTGTCTGTATTCTTAGGGAAAAAATGATGATCCTTTACTTTGGGACTGGTATTGGATAATACTGTATGTAGAGCAAGTCTAATGAGTTGTTTTGAGGCAGTGTAACAAGAAGCAAGGTCACAAGGCTGCTGAATTTCATCATTCAATAGCACTGTCAGTTTGTAAGGCACAAAATGACATTGCTGTTCAAGTTTAACAGAGGATCCTTACAAGAGAGAAATAAAGAGAAGAAAAATACTAAGCTTTTGGATGTCTATAACAAATGAACTGGAGTTCCCAGAGGCTGCTTATTTTTGTCAGCAGAGTTCATATCAACTGCCAATATGTCTGAGGAATGATTTTCTATTATACACACCAAATCTGTGAACCAGAGGTGTCCTTTTAATATTTATACAGAAAATATTTCATCATTTACAAGGCAATTTCCTCTGAATTTCTGTTCAGTCTAGGATTATGCCCTGTAAGGTGATTGGAAAATGCTAAGAGCAAGTAAAATTTCTTAGATAAATTCTTTCTTGGGGGAAATCTGTTCTGCTTTAAGAGAAGACCTAATGTCCTCCTTTAGGTCTGTACAATATAGGGAAAAAAAAAAAAAAAAGAAAGAGGTAGATGTTTTGGAAATACAGGAGTAGTTCATTAAAGTTTCTCAAGATAAAGATAAGCAATGTATTTTCACAGAATTAAATTAGAGAGATAATATTATTTGTCTTGGAAGACAAATGAACCACTGTGGATGAGGTAATTGAGAGGTGAGTTGGCAATAATCATATGCCTGCTGAAAAGTAAATAAATAATGTATAAACATGCAATTTAAAAAAATCCCTCCTGATTTGGGGCTATTGCTCTTGAAAAGCTAATAGAATAAGTATCCTGGGAAGTGCACCAGTAAAGAAAAGGCTGGTGAGTAGCCAGTTGATGAATACATGTAGTGTTTGTAGTGTTTGTGATGAAACACAAACTACCTTTTGAGCATTAATCCTAAAGCAGCTGTTACCTTGACAACTGCAGGTAAGGGATGGTTGTAGTGTTCACCTCTCCAGATTTGCTTTGAACTGTTAATAAAATCTTAGAATAGCTTGTCTTTCTAAAGGCTTCATGTGGCTTTCCAAAGATTTGGATTGTTCCTGAATGGTAGTTTTGCATACAGAATTGAATTTGGGGAACCTGACACAGCAAAGACAAGCAGTTATTTATGAGGTCATCTAACTTAGTGGCTGCCTTAGTGGGAAGCCTGTTATGAAAATAAAGCACATGCTGTTTCTGTGCTGTATTTTGCAGGTTCTCAGGCTGTGTGTGAGTGCACCTTGTGTTGTGCTACTGGAACACAGGCACGGCTGCTGAGCTCCTGGCCTGGGTGGGCTCCAAGGTGTCTCCCTGTGGTGTGAACACATTCTGTCCTGCCTGCCTGCTCAGGTATTCTCTGCATGCCCCATACTGTGTGGTGGCAATGTTCCCTGGCATGCTGGCTGGGGGTCCTGCTGGAAGAAAGCAAACTCAGGTGGCAGTGCAGCAGAAAATGTCTCTTGCAGCATAGCCATGTGAGCAATGCATCACAAAGTAAGTAGTATTTTAAAACTGTACTCAGCAGTGGCTCTCTCAATTATCTTTTATGCACTATTCTAGGTCAGCATGGTGTGGTTGGTGAGCCCTCAGAAGGGACAGAGAAAGGCCATTTTGGCATTTCACATTACCCTGACAGCTGACTGCTTCCTCCTGCTCCTGCTCATAGTCCCACCATTAGAATACAAGCCTGTGCATGTTTCTGATCCTGCTTCTGTGGATGTGCAGCCTCACTTAGATCTGAATGATGTCTCTGTGTACCATGAAGGGAGTGTCTCACTTGGAGTTTGGGTGATCCTCATATGATATACTAACCAAGTAACAATGTCTGTACCTGGATTGTTCTTGGCAACTCTGTTAAAGGAAATATAAAAGCTTCAAATTTTCTGTGTGCAAACTGATCCTTGAAAATGATCCTTGAAGCTGTTTTTAGTGCTCCAAATTGGATTCCCAAGAAATTAATCAAGGTTAGCAAGACTACAGTTTCCTACTTACATTGCAAACTAATATTTTTGGATATACTAAAGTTTATAGTCAGTATGTAGACCCCCTAAAAAGAATTTTTCTTTCAAAGGTCCTCAGGATATACATGTGTTTTGTCCATTCATTTGTTTACTGAAAAAGAAGTTCAGCAACAGAGATTGGATTTTGATAGTGAACTTGTGACAAATTATACAAATGTCCTTTTGTGCCTTTTAGTAGATTTTCCTCTATGGAAAATAGTTGTTAAATCATGTATTTAGTTCTGTCACACTCTGATACTATCACACTCCGAACACTTTTGATGTTTATCTTCTCTGGCACTGAGGCGTTATGTTTTCAGCTGATGTACATCCAGTTACTTAGCAATAGAACTTAATGTCTTCTATATTAATAGGATTGTTGGAAAGTGTGAACAGTTCTTTCACAGAGCTATTAAGTCAGCCCTGGAAGCTACAGCTATTTATATACACGAGAGATAAACAGAGAGAAGTTTAATATTGATAATGAAAATTTTATTCTGATCTGTAGCACCTTGTGGTCTATGGCATAGCCTTAGGGTATGAGCTCAATAAGCTGAATTCAGAACTGTAACAGCTTGCTTAGTTCAGGTTTTTGTCCATATATTAACTTCTTACAGTTTTGTGCATTTTGTGCGTGTGTGTAAGTGTAGCCATGTTTTAAGTTTTTACTGCAGAAAAAAATTTTCAATTTCCCTCTTTTTAACAGCAGAAGAAAAATATTTAAGGTGCAGGACTGTGAGATTATTAAAAAGCCGCAAGTCTTATTCTTGGCAATGAAATGAAATTATAAGTAAACACTACTGACATATTCATCAGTTTGATTTGTTCTCTAAGACTTTATAGAGCAGCAGAAAGGCTTCAACAGCATTTGCCTATTTAATACTGCAGCTGTTTCTGGTTCAGAGTGCACAACACAGAGAGTTAATAAAAAATGACCGACCAAAAATCAAGACACGTTCCAAAACATTGTCAAGAGAATCAGCGACGACGATTTCCACTTTCTGCCTTTCTCCTTGTCTCCTGGGGTTGTCTGCCTGCCATCGTAATCAGTTTTATCTGGCCTTCTAGGTCTCCTGGACATTGAATGTGCTTTGTTACCAATGTATTGGAGATTCTGGTCAGTGGGGTGATGGCATCTATGGGTCCTGAATAGAGAGAACTTGGACATACACTGAACGGCAGTTTGAAGGAAGCGGGATAACAGCAAAGCTCATCCTATGTTGTAGCAGGTGTTGACAAGATTAGTACAGTTAGGAATAGATACAATTAGATATATTCCATTATATCATTTGACACAGAGCCAGAGGAAGAGATCTTCCTCTGTGTTACAATACCGTAGAAACTGTGTGACATTTAGCAATTTCCTTTGTGAGGAAAAGAAAAAAAAAAAAAACCCGGGAGAAGTAGTTACAGTGTTTCCACTGGCCTTAGTTCAGGATGGAAATAAAGAAAATTAGTATCACTTCCTTTGCTGGGTCACTGCAGTATGCTTTTTGGCATTCTAGCAAGAGCACTTTGGTTGCCAGGAGACAATAAGTTAATTTTGGAAGGTAATGCCCTCCAAGCAAGTAATGCCAACATTCTAGATCAGAGTAAAATCTAATGTTCCGTAGCCAGAAGATTGCCTTTTAAAAGGATTTACCTCTCTACCTTACTGGTAATAAACAAACTGCTGCTGCACTGTCTTGCTGGCAGAACAAAATCCTGAACAGTAAAATCTTAGGGTGCTGTTAGGTAATCAACATAAAAACAACGCTGCAGCGGGCTCATCTAGGTTAAGCCATCTGCTAGCTATGCTGGTACATATGTCAAATGACAGACTGCCAAAACTATTTTTCACAATCTTAAAATACAAGGGAGACCAATGAAATGTTACAGGGACAAATTCAAAATGCGTTCACAATTAATGTGTGGCATTAATTTCACCATATGGGACATGGCAACCAAAGGGTTTTGGGACACTAAACATTTACTGATGCTGTTAAAGTCTATACACAAAACCATACTGACACCTCGGAGTGGAAATAGCAGCAGAGCAACGTAAGAGACACAGGAAGCTGTATCTATGATGGTGGTGCCAACTATAGCAGCACAGACACATTTCTCTTCAGTCTAGCTGCAAAACTGAATCTTCATATATTCACTCTCAAGGTTGTCAGAGTTATGGAGAATTCATGGAAGATAAATATTTGAGATAGGAGTCACTTGTGCAATCGTTTGAGCTTTTCTGGGTGGAGATGGGATCCATAATTGTACGGATTGGTCTGAACTGAAAATCTTTTGATTATTGGGAGAATGGATAAATAGGCAAATGGATTGCAATGGTCAGCACATAGTGAACTGTGACATTGAACAGTTTTGACATTGTTCAGGAGAGTTTTGCAGTCAGTGACTCATTCAGTACCTGAGAAAGTTCAAGTAAGTTAAGTCAATAAAATCTACCTGACTGCTAAAATGATTGTAAACTGACAGTGGAATTACAGTATTTGCAGAGAAAAGAACAGTGAGGCCTCAGAGAAGAACTGTAACAGTTCTTTGAACATTAGAGAAAATGTCTTATAATGGCATAATTAATGATTATAAGATAACTGAGAGGTGACTTGATTATGGTGCAAAAGTTCCAGGAAAATATCATTAGGTAGTAATATTCTCTTTCAGTCTAAAAAAATTACACCACAAACCTCAGCATCTGGGAATAAAAACCAAGGAAACCTGTAATCAGCTGTAGAATCAGATTTTTATCAGTATGGGTGATTAACTTGTGCAATGAAGTAGGTGCTTTATGAAGTATGATATTTTGTGAAACACACGTAACAGGGCCTGTTAGATACGTAATCGGGCTGCTTAGAGATTAGATAAAATGGCTTAGCCTGTGGTGTCCAGAGGGTGTGATCAGATTACTTGTGGTCTCTGAACATTCTACCATAAAATCTTTTTGAAGGTGTTTGAGCTTCAGTTGAAAACTTATGATGAAAACTTATAACACATCCAGAAAGATTGAAAATTATCTGACAGAATGCTAAACTAAAGAAAGCCAAATTCATGGTGAGATAATATCTTTCATTAATAATGGGAAAGTATACTTGTATCTATATATCATAATTTTAATGAATTGTCTAAAATACCTATTATAACTTCAAAATCTTGAAGTGCGAATCTAGTAACTATATTTGCATTCGTAAAATTGTTGGAATTTTCATAAATAATGTGGCAATTTTCAACACTAATTATGATGTCATTTTTTAAGCTTCTGTTCTAAGGTACATCTTGTGTTTCAAACACATTAAAATAAATAAGAAAACATTAAATTTATATTTGTAACAGATTTGTGAGTTTTCAACTTCTGGTTTTTGAAGCAGTGTAACCATGGTAGCTATTGCTACATGAAAAAGAATAAATTTATGGTTCATGTTATTACAATGCCTTATTCATATAAGGCTTTTAGCCTAGAAATTACCACTTCCAGACAAAAATTGCCACAGAAGCTAAATGACAGCTTTGATAGAAGAGATGGAGTTTGATAGATAGCAATGAGGTGATGCAGTGGTGATGCTCTTTGCTCTGCTGGATGAAACAGGCCATAGGACTGTCCTGAGTGACCTTGTGTATGAACTGGGGGCTGAGGGTGGGGGTGTGTGTGAAGTCCAGCTATGGAGGTGGACTACAGCCTACAGGAAATGCAATGTGAGTACTCTCCAGCATTTCCTTGTGGTGTGTGCATAGCTGGTTTTGGGCCCAGACAGATGAATTATTTTACCTCAGGCACCCAACCGGAGTGTTGCTGTGTCAGATGTTACAGGGCCTGCTCACAAGCATTGCTTGGATGCTCTTTGGTCGTGAATGTACACGTTGTGTGACCACTTATACAAGAGTTGGAAGCACACAAAGTTTTTAGGATGAATACATTACATTCACCTATCAAACTAAAACCAGCTTCCTTAACTTCAGCTGTGGAGTCTCCCCAGTGTGAAAATTAGGGACAAATCAGTATTGAATATACAAGCACCTATTGTCCTTGTTCTACCTGAAGAGAGAAAATTTAGGAGAAAAAAAAATGACAAAAATGGCTTAAACTTACACAAAACACTTATATTAGAGCAGCAGTTGATGGTGGACTTCAGAGCAGCTTGCAAAGGATTTTGGTTTGAAATTGAGTTTATCCTTATTTAGATTGGAGGCTTTTAAGTTGAGAAAGGGAAATCGCATGGTAACTGGTGCTACAAAATATGCTCTTCCTGAAACAGTCCAATCCCAGGTTGCCAGTGCAGTCTCTTGGCTGGCTCAGCTATCATCAACTCTCACACCTGAATGAAGGCCCAGGACCTGTAATACTGTAACAAAATACTCCAGATGTTCTGATCTTAAACGGATATTAACTAAACCTCCTCCACTCCATTTTTCGTCTCCTTCCTTTCCACGTGGTATCTTCATTATTTTTCCAAATGTTACAGTTCTTCTGGCCCATATGGTTCATGTTTGTAGGTGTAATACCAAAGATAATTTTCCCAGAGTTTTTTAGTACATTTTAGAACATTTTCGTAATGTTAAATAAGCCTAATAGGACATAATTCCACCTTCCTTTTGAAGTCACTTCCAAGCATCTATCTAAATGTTGGATTTATTTGGCCTTCCCTTCCCTTTTGGGCATTATATCCATAATAATTTTTAGTTTCTTCCCTCTCTTTTTCTCTTCTTACAGACTACTGTAGAACCAAAAAACAAAAAATTGAACATTGAACTGCTATTATTTATTTTGGTTTAATTTTTAAAATGATAAATTCATATATATAAGCAGATTAATGAGACCAAAGTCACCTGGAGTGTAAGTGTTCACTAGTTATTATTGGAGATTATGTTTCTGTTCTCTAGTTATACTTGAGAGGAATTACTTGCCATAAAAAATAAAAATAGAGAAGCCATGAGGGTTTCAAGGAGTTATGATAATTATTGAGGATCCTTCTATATAAATACAAAAATAAATTACTAAGTTTAGTAGAGGAATTGAAGACAATGTGCTGTCAGCTGCAGTATATCAAAACTGCTGAGTAGTGGATAGCTCTTTTGAAAATTCTTTTTTTTGTCATGGAACTCTGGGAAGCAGGTCAGAAACAGCAACACTTGTCTACAGCACAAAATGTATTTGTAAATTGTACATTGTATTAAGTATTATGACTAAGGCAGAATGCCTGTCAGCCACACAAACACACACACAAATATTTGTCTCACTGTTCTCAGTGCAGTTCTCTCAGGTTTGCAGTGGGCTAGGTAGGGATACAGGTGCTGTATAAGCAGGGTTAACTCACAGGAATATCAGACATTATTTCTTCTCATTACTTGGGCCCCTAAGGGAGCCATGTTGGTATAATGAGATCAAAGACACTAGATAATTTTAATGTGCTTAAGTATCTCCATTCCAGAAGAATCTATTTGGTTTTATTACGGATACAGTATGCAATTTAGTTGCTAATAGCAGCACTGAGCCTTGAAATTAAGCAACACAGCTAAGGAAGGGCTGTGTGGCAAAATGAGTTTCATGTCTGTAATTACAGACTTCAAAAACGCTCTCTTTCTTTGAAATCTCTTACAGATTGCCATCTAAAAGGAAATTTCTATAACTGAGTTGAATACTGGATATTTTCAAAACTCGTGTGTGAGAATCACAGTAAGGTAAGACACAGTAACTCTAAGATTGTTGTAGTTACAATTATTTTGCGAGAATCACCTTTTTCCCCTGGAAGGTAGCAGTGATCATGATGCATCCTCTAGAAAGATATCCAGATGTTTCTCAGTGCATATCACCTGCAGGTCAAAGTCTAATTACTCATTTTCACTACCTTCTTGTAATAGCATTTCTGCTTTGCAAAAGGCTGAAGATGAGTCATGGAGGAATTGTCTTCCAATCATGTTAGCATCCATTCACACAGCTGCTTAAAAGGATTTTATCAGAAGATACTTATTCACTAGGATGCCTCAAAAAATTGGATTCTGCGAGATGTACCCATATGAAAATCTTCATGTATATAAGCAGCTTCACTTGAACAGTGACTATCATTCAACAGCTACAGAGCTAAGTTCATGACTCTGAAATTTTTTAGTTCTATAAAGCTGATAGTTAATTCTCTGGTGTTTGTAGTTATGACTGCAGGGTGGTTGAAGAGGAGTAAAGCATAAATCTAGTCTTTCAAAGCTTAATTCTACACCTCCTTAATTATTTCAAATACAAAAATCAGCAAAATATTTCCTGATGTATTTTGATGTTGAAATACTGTATTTTCTTCTAGTCATTACATGTGGCCTTGTGCCCATACTGTAGGAGTGCAATACATTAATCAGGAGTGTAGTGTGATGTCTTGGAGAAGCAATAAGAAGGGATCTGCTGCCTCCTGCCCACTCCTTCAGTGAAGGTGTTCTGAAGCCCAATACAGTATTTAATTTCTATTTATGTATTCCCTCACTTTGACTGGGAAGTTGCTCTTAGATCTGTGGGAGGAAACAGACATTTTGTCACATACACATATTTGAGAAAAGCCATGAGACTCTATTGTCTCTGTATAGTGAGTATAGACAGAACCAGAAATGGAACTTAAATCCCATAATGTAGCCTCAGGACAGTTCTTTTTAGGGATGTATATGTCAGAAATGTGTGACAATAGGGAGTTGAGATGAAATGCTGTGTTACAGTTGTCTCTGTTATTCACTGCTAGTTTGGCTTGCAATGTGTCTGTACAGGCACTTCAGTTGAATGACAGTCATGGGAGTACAGCTGTTCTGCTTTGAGGAACAGCTCAACTGGAGCAGACAGATACTCTGAGCTGGAGCAGAGCCTGAACAGTGAGCCCAGCTTGATGCTAGCTGGCTTCTTGCTGGTCAAACATCTTCTCGAAGTCAGGCATAGTGGGAGGTGCAGCACAGGGACACAGATGTCTGAATAAGCTCAGCCAGTCTTCAGCTTGGAGTGTTAGCTGGAGTTCAGGGCTGGCCCTTGTAGACCTCCCAACAGAGCATTTAGTAGTGACAAGCCTGAAGCTCAAAGAGGGACAAGAACAAAGTTTCCTTGAGGGAAAGGAGATGACAATTTCTTTTTGGGCACTTTGCTTTTTAGATTAACAGTGATGTGTTAGTGCTTGGAACAGGCTTGAGGCAGCACTGTGCTCAGGCAGCACTGTGCCCAGTCAGTGCTCTGGGAAATAAGAACCCATGATCTCCAAGTGACTCTGTGACATATCTGGGTTTGGGTGTTACTCATGCTCATCTGTCCTATGTCCTGAACTCCTGAAGCTACCCTGACACTCTGCTATGTAGCTAAAAAGTAAAGGATTCTTAAGGAGAAAATTCTACAGCAAATGAAGGAAAAGGTTTCTGGTTATAGTGGTTGTAGATGAGGATGGAAGGTAGAGTTTTTTTGTAACTAAAATACTTTACAATAAATGTGTTTGTTCTTTTTAAGCACAGTATTTTGTCTGAGAAAGTCAAGTTGGCTTCTGTGTAGAGGTTGTGTGGGAGACCTTTTAATTTATCCACTGATATTTAATGGCATTAGATAGCCTTCACACACAATTGTCATTGATTTGCTTATGTATTCTGGAGAAAGTACCAGAGGAGCAGTGAGGCACTGTGGTGTGCAGCTATTATGTATTTGCCTTCCTGCTTAGCTTGAGCACTGCCAAAGTCTTTTTCAGGACTTTCCATAAATCCCTAGGGTATGTTATAAAAAATTTCTATATGAAGCAGTAATTCCCATTAGTAATTCCCAGACAATAAGGGAGAACCCTAGGACTTTTTAAAATTAAAATACTTCACAGAGGATTAGATGAAATATTTTAAAAAACATTTGGAATATTACCAAGAACTTTATGATACAGACCACTTGACAATACAGACTACTTACATTTTCCTTTATTTCCTGTGAAAAAACATTTCCTATTTTTATGTAATAATTGAATATAATATGTAAATTTGGTCCTTTATTGTGTGTTTAGAAGTGACTGTGTAGTCTCCATTACTAGGAGGATTTCAGCAGATCCTTATCTCCCAGAAACAAGAACATATAGATCATAAATGAGGTATGGTTTAGAAATTGAGACATATTTCCCCATAAAGTTCATTTTTTTCCTTGAGTTAGCTACAGCTTCGTCATTATCTCCTGTTTCTATAACCTTTTTTACCACTTTACTCTGTCTTCATTCCAGAGGATTTTTTGAGTATAACCTGTTGAGACCCCTTCCTCAGATTCAGAAACAGCTGCTTCACAAACTAGTAATTGTCACAATTCTTACTGAGAAGTTTCTGGGTATCAAAAAAAGGCTGTCCCACTCATTGTTGACATGAAAACCATAGCATATTGCAATTAAAAACATCCTCACTGTGGAAAAGAAAAACTTCTCTCCTGTGGAAAGTGCTGTGTGTGCAGCAGGTAGGCTATCAAAGAAAATTAGGCATATTAGGAATTTTGCCTGCTTTAGTTGAGACTGGGCAAAGAAAATTTTGGATTGAATAGCGGATAATGTGTAAGATATGATTTCTTCTTTTGTTTAAGGAAAAACAAATCCCAACAGCCCATCAGTTCCAGACTAGTCTCAGAAAAAGGACTTTCATGTCTTCTGCAGTGAATTACATATTTATGTTCAAATTGATTGGACATTAAGAAGAAAAAAAACCCAAACAAACATTTGTCAGAAATGTCAGTTTCTATTTAAGAAAGCGTCATCACAGTTGTTACAATTCTATTACTCCCCTACAAACCCAAATCAATCAGAAGAGCTTGAAAAAAACAATCAAACAGGCATTCTTAAAAGCTTGTTCTTGTTTGAATTAGTGTCCAAGATCTTTCAAATTACAAGGCCCACATTAGGATTTTTCTAAATTTCTGTTCATGAGGCTCTCCTGTATTAGATTTAAGTAGGCTACATACAGTAGCTTTTTATTTTTGTAAAGTACTATGAAGCCAGTCAGAGCCAGACAATATAATTGGTGTTTCTTATTCTCTGGACTGTCCCAGAGTGACTCAGATACACTTCCAGATAATTTTCCACTGAAATTGGATGCATAATTTCTATTATAAAAAAGGCAGATAATTACTGGCTCTGATTTTATTTAAAATATATAAGCCTTGTTAACTCTTTCAGATAACTTTACATAAATAATAAAATGAAACAAGTGTAGAACTCTAATTGCTGGATATCAATTGTAAAATTATTAATTTTTCACTAAGATGCTAATGAAAGATTTAAGAAGCAGCTTAATTAGGAGGCAAGATAGGAAATTTGACCAATACTCTGGCAGAGAAGTGTGAAGACAGAAGGCAGTGTCGCATATAAAGGGACTTTGGCTAGGAATGCAGATGGGTTTCTTCCTTGAGACAGATACAGTGCTCATCATTGAAAGCTCTGATCTTTTAGACATTTGTCTCTCTCATGGCACTAACAGTTTGGTGTCTGCCAAAGCTCATCCATATGGTGAAATTTAACCACATAAGGATGGCATTCATGGAAGATAATACATGGCTCTTGTCCTCAGCTGGCTTCTGGAAAATGTGAATAATGGGGTTTGTGGTTTTAGGAAAAAAAAGTTCTACCTTTTCCTAGGAGTTCGATTTCCAAATCTGAAGTATTTACCTCTTCATCTACATAGAATTTTCTGGGAAAAGCTAATGCTATTATCTCAAAAATTTAGCCTTATATTCAGGGATTCAATAAAGTTGTCTTTCAATGCTCTTGTCTGTCACAGAGAACTTGTGCCTAGGTCTAGAATCTCCCTGAGGTTCAGTGCAAAGTTTCCTAGAGCAGAATTTAAGTGAGTTAGTTCAAATACTGAATGTGGGCTACCTATGAGTTTGGTCTCCTTGATAAATAAATTAAGCCCTCTATATTGCAATTCTACTCAAGATAGTGAACAAAAAGTTTAGATACCGATGTCAGAGCCATTAGGGACTTAAACACATAGCAATAGGCAGACAAGGCTAAAACAAAAGTCTTGGATCCCAAGAGTAATGGCCATTTCTGAAAATGCAACCTCACACATTTGTGTTAGAAAGCAAGGTTGAAAAAAGCAGCCTGAGTCTGTAGAACAAGACATTGTCCCCACGAACCCACCAAAGGGAGGGGAAGCTATTAAGAGAACTGTTGTCTCAGATCTTAAAAATAAGGATTTTTATTTGCAGCTACAATAGGTTGCTTCTCTGTTCAAAAATTTTGCTGAAAACTCACTAGAAGATGAGAAAACTCACATTCTTTTTTGTCTTTCTGTCACTTATGCTTCATGCTTAGTGAATGTAGCTGTTTACAGTGAAATTACTCATATACTTGTAGATTGCTTTGTAAGGGGTCATCTTTCTGACTGAACACCTTTGAACACTAGTGACCAAAGAATGTGATATTTCAACATGTTTCTGTTCTTCTTTCCTTTTATTGAACCACAGAATCACTAAGGTTGGAAAAGACCTCCATGATTGGGTTCAACCATTAACCCAACACCACTATGTTTATGATTAAACCATATCCCCAGGTATCACATCCACACATCTTTTGGATGTTTCCAGGGATGGTGATTCCATCAGTTCCCTGGGCAACCTGTTTGAATGCTTGACCACTCTTTCACTGAGGAAATTTTTCCTAATATTCAGTCTTAACTTCTGTTGGAGCAACTTGAGGCATTGTCTTTTCACTTGCTACCTGGGACAAGAGACCAACCCTGACCTTGCTACAACCTCCTCTCAAGTGTTTGTAGAGAGCAATAATGTTCCCCTTGAACCTCCTTTTCTCCAGGCTGAACAACCACAGCTTCCTCAGACTTGTGCTCCAGACCCTTCACCAGCTCCATTGCCCTTCTCTGGATTTGCTCCAGCCCCTCAATGTCTTTCTTGTAGTGACGGGCCCAGAACTGGACACAGCACTCAAGATGTGGCCTCACCAGTGACAAGCACACAGGGACAATTACTGCCCTGGTCCTGCTGGCGACACTATTGCTGATACAGACCAGGGTGCCATTGGCCTTCTTGGCCACTTGAGCACACACTGGCTCGTGTTCAGCTGCTGTCAACCCCGAGGTCCTTTTCCACTGAGCGGCTTTAAGCCACTCTTCTCCAGACATGCAGTTTTGCATGAGTTTGTTGTTACCAAAGTGCAGGACCTGGCACTTGGCTTTTTTGAACCTCATACCACTGAACATGGCCTGTCAATCCAGCCTGTCCAGATGCCTCTGCAGAGCCTTCCTGCCCTCCAGCAGATCAACACTTCTTGCACATCTGTGTGTCATCTGTAAAATGACTGAGGATGCGCTTGATTGCCTTGTCCAGATCATCAGTAAAGATGGTAACAGGACTGGCCCTGAGCCCTGGGGAGCCCAATAGGGACTGGCCACCAGCTGGATGTAACTCTATTCACCACCACAATCTGGGCCCACCCATCCAGACAGTTTTTCACACAGTGAAGTGTACATCTGTCCAAGCCATGAGCAGCCAGTTTCTCCAGGAGAATTCTTTGGAAGACGGTATCAAAGGATTTGCTGAAGTCCAGATAGACAAACATCCACAGTCCTTCCCTCATCTACTAGGCAGGTCACCCTCTCATAGAAGAAGATCAGGTTTGTCAAGCAGAACCTGCCTTTCCTAATCCCATGCTGTCTGGGTCCTGGTTGTGCTGTATGTGCAATATGATGGCAATGAAGATGATCTGTTTCATAGCCTACCCTGGTACCAAGGTCAGGCTGATGGGCCTGTAGTTCCCTGGCTTCTCCTTCTGAACAATCTTGTAGATGGGAATGTGCTTCCTCTCCCTGTTTCTAGCTCTGGGGGCTGGGTACCCCAAAGGCACCTGGTTCTGCTGAAGCAAAGAGGACATTATGTACACAGCCATTTACTCCTCCTTTGTCACTAGGTTTCCCTCTGCATCCAATAAAGGCTCCTTAGCCTTTGGAGAGTCTCCTTAGCTCTCCTTGTGATTCTGATTAATAGAAACAGTTTTTGTTGTCTTTTGTGTTAGCAGACAAAGTTCTAGCTGAGCTTTGGCCCTTCTATTTTTTACCCTTCATAACATCACAACATCCTTGAAGTCCTTCCAAGTTGCCTGCCCCTTCTTCCAAAAGTGATACAAATGAATATTCCAACAAAGGAATAGCCCAAACTTGCCACATCAGCTATAATGCAAAGTCACTTCTTTAGGTCAGGCAGAAGTATCCTTCTTATAGCCAAGGAAAACTACTTCCTTTGTCTAGCCTTTATGGATGTTGTATTTTCTTTTTTGAGATGGTTCTTTCTAATAAGTATATATGTACCACTTCCCCTTCCTTTGCTGGTAAGCCTATGTAAATGTTTCTTATAGAGCAGAGCCAGCTCTTCAGGATCTATAAAGAGACATATTTTAAAAAGGCATATATTAGCTTACCAATGTTCTGAAAGAATTTTTGTTGATCTGAGGGACAAATTGGTTGGTGGAGATGGCCAAGTATGCCTTCATGTGTTACCGTAAATGATTTATGAACCCTGGGTTTTCATGGCATGTTAAAAATTCATATGAACATTAGATTTAAAATTTAATTATCCCAACTAGCTGAAGCACTTCTTCAGGCTTGTAATTGGGCAGATATATAGCATTATACACAGCAGGGGAGACTTGGGACTTGTGTCCAGATCATCAGATGTATTATGTAGCCTACTGTCATTGATGAAGGGTCTAAATTTGGTACTTGAATAATTTGGTATCTCCCTTTAATCATCCTAATACAGAATATGTCAATAATTTATGTTTACTCTTATCCTGATTTTTCTAAATTTCTTTAGACATCTTTGGATTAGTAGACAGTAACAACTTACTTAACTAGGAAGCACTACTAAATGTGAGTGGTGATAGTGAAATCTGACCCTGCATCTGCTCTTTGCAGGAAAAATTCTAAACCAGTTACCTTGCACTTAATTTTCATCTTTATTCAAATCACATAGCTTAGTTGGGGCTGTATTCCTCTTACTTGACCAGAATCATCTGAGCACATTATTCAAGCACACTAAACATGTGCTCCAATTTAAATTATTGAACTGGCTTTTTAGCAGAGTAGAGGGACCATTGGAAGGCAGATTATCCCACCTTTTTTAAGAGTGTGATAAACTGCCTTGTGCAGATGCCTGTCTCTCTCTCCCTGCTATCCATGTCGGAGTATGGACTGTTAGGTAGTAATACACCTGGTCAGACAGGGAGTTTTAGGTACCAAGTTACCAGAGATGTCTTTTCTTTCTTCTTTTTCCTTTTCTTTTTTCTTTTTTTTTTTTTTTTTTTTTTTTTTAATTGAGAAATCAAACAGGGACCTATGATGTTCCGTTCTTTGTACAATAGCAAAATATTGGCGAGGAAACTGCTAAGGAGAGATTCTGCTAGTATTCTCTCAATATTGACAATGGAAGTAAACAGAGAGATCCAATAATTTAAAACTTTAACCAAGATGGCAAATAAAGTGTGGTTTTTATGTGTGCTTATGGGATTTAATTTGCTAAAATAACTTCTTTGAGATTCCTGGAATAAGAAAGCTAATAAACTGAAAAGCTTCAGTGTTGCTAAAAGTAGTAGCTCTTTAAGCATTTGGTTTGAGAATTTGTGTGAGCTGGAGGAAAACTCAAAGAGTTATACTGTCTTAATTATACTTAAATTTGAAATCCTAGGGATACAGACTTCTAAAGTTATAGATGTCATAGCTTTGAAAGAGCTGAGATAAAGGAAAATTAAACTATTTACAAATAAAGTTTTCTTGTGTAAAAGAGAGAAATCAATAACTGATACGGGTAATATAAATGTTTATATTTCAAATGTTCTCCACCAGACTTCATACAAAATATCCAATATTCAAAGATATTTAAGCTAATTGTTTATCTTACTCCAGATGGTAAAGAGTTGCTCCTTATAGTAAAAGTGAGCATGACAATCACAAGTATGCATTTAAGTAGAAGGGAATGTGCCCAGTTGTGTAATAGCAATTTATAGTTCTTGGCTTGATGGTCATTTAAGGTTAAGAAGGGGCTACTTGTGTAAGAGGAAGCCACACGTAAATGGAGGTATCAGGTACTGCACCTTAGTACTCAGAGAAGATACTGTGCCACAGGACTGGCAGTTCTCATCCCCTTGACTGATGATCTTGTGATTTTTGATGTCTCCTTCCTTATGGAGCCTTGTTATCTCTGAAAGGAAATGTAACCAGCTGTGAGCCTCTGCACTTACATCTCCTTTGAGGAAACAATGGCAATCAGTGAAGCAGCAGAACACTGGCGTGTACTGACCAACCTTTCTGGCAGCAAGAATCAGCCTAGATGTAGCTTCCTTTATGAAGACATTGTATAGGCTACAGTGTTGATTAGAATTGCCTCACTGTAGGTGAGAATCTTGTCCCCGTCTCTCCTTATCTTTCAGTGTCCTAGTGGCAGCCTTGGACTAGGAATGTGCAGTCTGCTCTCTGGAGATCAGGGATCTCCTATCACGATAATAGTCACTAAGAGTGGAGAATGTCACATGAAGAACATGCCTGCCACTGACCAACAAGTGCTTTGTGTTTCAGACCAACAATTTTTCTCCGATTGAGGCAAAGTCTTTCAAAATTTGCCAGCTCTCCTCCTCAGAGCAGACAAACAGATAACCATTTCTGAAATATATATTTTTTCTTTTAGAGCCCTGGAAATTCTCAGTAGTAAAAGTAATAATAATAAACTTGTGGGGCTTGAGATATAACACAGAAAAATATTTCCTTTTCCCTGTGTACAGTCACTTCAGAAATACCTGCTGCCTGAACTGGGACCAGCCAGCCAGTTCTTTTTGAGTTAGGCCTATGCAGAACAGAATGTAAAGTTTGCATCAACCTTGAGTGATCCTTTGATCTTAACAGCTGTATGTCCTGAATGCACACCAGCATGAGCTCTGAAAGGCTTTGTTTATATGATCTTTCTCTATCAGAGCATGAGATCTTCATCATCCTTCTCACAAGACTCCTGAATAAGCTCATCAATACTCATGAAAAGGTTTCAGAGTCTCGAGGATATGTTTAAAAGGTGTGACACAACCTAGCTTTCTGCCATAATGTAGAATTCCTGCATCCTGGGGTAGTGGGCCTTTTGGGCTAGGATGTCCACTAAACTCATCTCCAGACTCAGATAAGAGTTTGAAATGTGAGAGCTGAGCTAAACAGTAAGGCAGACTCATGGGACTGCCAACTGATCTGTATCTCTCATACTACTCATATGCTTGAGGAGTGATTCAGATGCTTAGATGATGAGTATGGGTTGAGAGTCTGTGTAGAACCGAAAAATACAGTTAAATGAACAAATGAGACACATGTACAAAGCAAAAACATTTCATTTGTAACAATATCAAACAGAAACTAGGGAAAATATCATGACTCTTGGAGAAGAGCACTGAAAATTTCTGATAAATGTTTGTTTCCATTATTAAAATATGATCTACATATAATATAAACCAAACTGTGGAGTAATACAAGTAAGATAAGAACTACTAATGCTGCAAAATACTATTAATATGCAACAAATAATATGTTTCAAAAAATATTTTAAGTTCATAAATATATAGCACCAAGGAAAGCCAGTCACATTTCTAGTTGGTCTGATTGTAGGTATTTATCAAATCAGCACAAGAATCTCAAGGGGCACTTCACACGAGTAGCAAGTGTGAATTTGGGAACAGAGTGTGGTCTTGTGATTCTTACTCTGAAGCAATCAAAAAGAACACTTTTTTTTTTAAGTTAAGACTCATAAATCCTAACATCCCTGTATTTTGCCATCTGATCTGCTTTCTGAACTCCAATCTTAATAGGTATCATATTGACTTAAGGAATATGTGCATATTCACTCAGATAAAGACAGTAAGGTTCAGGTCAGTGGTCTGAGTCTAGATTTCAGTGCCATTTTTGATGACCCAAGGAATCCTGCCAGGTTTCCACACTTCTTCAGAAAAGCACAGGTTTTGTACAGTTCCTACATTGTATTTTCTGGTCTTGTGGGGATATTTCGGATGCACAGTCCCCTCTCTGTAGCCTTCTAAACGGAGATATCTTCATCTGTGAGGAAGTACTTGTAGCTTAGGTTATATAACTAAACATACTTCCAAACAGATGGCTCAGCAGCATCCATTTGTCTGATATAGTGGGAATTGCATATGTTGTCCAAGTGCAAATATGTGGTTAGCAAGCTCTAAAATCTTTACTGTGGTTGTAGAACTCATGCACAGCTATGTGACAAGTGTGACTGGTAGTGGTTAAACTGGTAGAAGCCAAACAACTTACTGTGTAAGCATATCCAGAGAAGGTAAAGAAGTTCCCTGCTCCCTCTACCTCTGAATGCAATAATATTCAGCATCCTGACCCTTACCAGACATTTCCCTTCAGGTCTTCGTTGCAATTCCTGACAAAATACAGAGATGCCAACCTCAAGTCAACTCATCCTCAAGAACATTTTACACAGCTTTTCTATTTAAAGATTTTGGGAGTACTGTGTTTCAACCACATCTTTTTATTCCTTATGCCAGGTGCTTTTCCTGCCACTGGTCTAAATGCTCCAAATAAGATCAATGAAGGAACATGTTCATTTCTCCCTGCTGGCAACAACAGTATGCTTCCAAAGGAGAAATCTGAATGTTCTTGGAAAGTAATCTCTATGGGTAAGTCTAAAATAGCTAACCATTTCTATGTCTGCTAATGTTTTGTTGTGTATTTTGGGTGATCTTACTGCTATTAGGGTACTTCAGAGGAATGAGAAAAGTGAACCTACACCTTTAGTGAACTAAAGAAGGTATATTTAGAAGATGAGAAGTGAAATTCAGAAAGACAGTTTGTTAGTAAAAGTGAAAAAATCTTTGTCAACAATTAAGTAAAAACCTCAGCTAAAGACCCAACTGGAAATTACAGGCAACTCCCTTCAAAATGGAAATAGTTCCATAATATACAACCAGGATAGCAACTCAGTACTTACTGCCCCTGTGAGTGCAGTGAATCCCCCTGCTCTGCATGGGTCTTCTTGAGCAGTAAAGCTGAGGGAGCTAATGCCTGCAACAAGGATGAGAAATTTCCAAGTGAAGTAAGTGGTTTTTTGTGCCTGGAACTGCAATGGACTGAACTAGCGGTTCAGCAGCAGTGTCAGGATTTTCCCCAAGATTTTTCTCCTTTCTGGAGAACGAAAAGGAAAGTTATTAAAAAATTTTAGATATGGAAAGAGAGTAAGATTCCCAGGACCTAATAATTGACTTAATTCCTATCCAGAGCATAGCATAGGGGTGCTTTCACAACACCTGTACACCTGCCATTCTGTGGCCTGGGGAGGGGGCACAGGGACTTAGGAGAGTAGATTGTGGGTAGTACATGATATACAGCCCCACAAAGCCAAATTGTGAAGACTTGCTGATCTTTTGATCAGGTATCTATCACACCACTGGCTGAGACCCTCTTTTATGAACAACTTATTATCTGAAGTTAGAGATGGCCTTTGAGAAAGAACTCCAGAATGCCACATATTTGCTTTTCAGCACTCCCTCTTCCATGTGCTTTCTGAATCTGAGTTTCCTCTTGCTCATAGGAGGGTGCAGAAAGATAGATTCTGGAATTAAGGTAGAAGTTTTTGGTGAGACTGTGATAAACATGGATAGAGATTTGCTCATCCCATTCCCCCTGTGTGGAGACCCATAACTCTAATAGGAGTTCTTCCCAGATCTTAAGAAGCTCCTACTTATTACTGTGTTAATTGTTATGGGGTTAAGGAAAAAGGCACATTTTTTACTAAGTCTGTTCTTTTGGACTGAGAGGACTCTGCAACTCTTCAACACATGCTCTTTTCTTGGATTTATTTTTAGTAATGTTCTCTTCATTTTTTGGTTTGTGGGTTTTTTTCCAAATATCTTTTCATAAAACTAAATTAAACTAAAAGAGAAGAGAGAGAAAATCAGTTTGCAATGAGGCATAAGACACTTCACTTTATTACTGTAGTGTTAAAATGGGCAAAGACAAAAGTACTGGAATGTAACATATCCATGAGCCATCTCTAAGAAGTGCTTCCAAAAGAATTCCTCTCCCACCAATCTATTTTTAAATAGAAAAGAATAGAAGAAACATTTTCAGCATTTCACTGGATTGACTATGCAAGAGAAATACCATGGGAATAAGTTTAGAAACACTGAGAACTCAAATTCAGACTCTTTGATGTTAACAGCTTTGCTTGCCAAGACGGAATATTTTTCTCTACTTAGGATAGAAGTTCTCACTGTAACACATATACAGCTAAAGTGAGAATTCTTCTAGTTCTGATGCAGGTTAGACAAGAAGGTTTTACTGGAGCACATCACATCACATGTACTTTCTGATTCTTGGTGATCAGAAGAATTAAATTAGACTAATCTCCCTGTCACCTCCTCTTCCCCCCATGAAATGGGCTAATGCACAAGAAAACAGAGTTCTGTGCTTTGAGTCAAGATTAGAACTTTGGGCTATTTGGTCCTGAGAGTTATGAGATTGAGTAGGCATGGGAAGAATAGGAGCCTCAGGCACTATGGAGAAAAGTCAGAGGACTCTACAGCCCCAGAAAAACAGTTTCTGCTCAGAGCTTAGGGTACCAGAGAGCTGACATATTCACAGTAGCTCAGATAGCTAGTTCAGCAAAAGACAGTATTTAAAGTCCTATTCAAAGCTCATCTTCCACTTGAAGAAAGGAAAAGATAAGAAAGATGCACATGGTCTTGCTGTGATGGATCTTGGTCTGCTGTTAATATGAGGAGACTGTGGACATGCCATCTTTCCATACTGCCCATGTAGCCACTGCCAGCATGACACAAAGGCACTGCCTGTTAATGGTGTGTGACCCATTCCATGGAGGGACTGATGGGATGCTCACTTACTCTATTTCTTTCTGTCTGGTACAATAGAGAATGGCTTTAGCAACATTTGAAAACATTTGCTGGCGGTTCTGTTTTTACAGTGTTTCTTGTTCAATACACCAAATCACATGAGAACTGAATCATGTTCACCTATTTCCAAACTGTGTGTGACAATCTGCACAGAATGAGAAATGAAGAGCAGTCATTGTATCTTTCAAGCTCAGTAACTCAGGTATTAGAAGAGCCAACTTTTTTCAAATTCTAACTAGATTTGTAATGCCCCTGGTAAATGTCTGCCCTTTCAGAAACACAGTTTCACTTCTGCTGAAAAAAAGCATTAAGAATACTAATTCAGGTCAAGCAGTTTACTGTTGGTATGAGCAACACTATAAATAACCCATAATGAATCTAAAATGAATAACAAGTAGCTGCCATTGTATGATTTAAGATTCTTTAAACAAAAGAGAAGGCAATAAGAAAATCAAAGAAAAAGGTTCCTGAAAAGACAACAAAGGAAAACAATGTTACAGCTGAATTGCTTTTTTGCTTGTGCTGTGACACTGGTGGGAGAGCAACTGTGGAGGTGAGTGGAGTCTCAGATAAAGGCTTGGAAAAGCTCTAAAGCTGTTAAGAACAAAGGAGCCCTGAATCTCTGCAAGATCGCTTTTGAGCTTAAAGAGGTGAATCTGAATGAAGAGTACTACCTCCAGTCTCCCACATCTCCTGGGACAGCTGGCCAAAAGCCTGATAAGACTCTTAACAGAGTGCACTGAGACAAATTTGCCACCACACACAAATAATTTCTCTGAACAATGTGCACTACACTGTCCCAGTCTGTTTTAAGCTGTTTCTAAATTGAATAACTAAAACAGTCTGGGACAGGGTCAGTGTCTAGAAAAGCTAAGGGGAACTCTGGCTAATTCATGGACTTATTTTGTGGTTCTGGATAAGTAATTTGGTCTTCTGTGACACAAAGATTGTTATTAACTTAATAGAGGAAGCAAAGTCTATGATTTCTGAAGAGAAAGTAGAAGGAGAAGCATTAGGGGCCTGTAGCTTCCTTGACCCAGGAATGAGTAAGAATCTCTGTTGTGCAAGTACACTATTCACTTTCTGTTTTCCCTCTTTTACCTTTACTTATATCTAAAGCTGAATTTCAGTCATACCAGAGACAGTCAGTGAACTGAATTTTTATTACATGCTTCAACTGAGATCAAAATGTCAAAACACTATAGAAAAGTAATCTTTATTTTTAGCCACAGAGAGGACATGCATATACTTGAAAAGTCTGTCCTTGTTAAATGTCTGCAGCACTTTTGCAGAGGCAAGAAATGCAAGTACTAAGGGCTTTGTCCTGAAAAGACACTTCCATTGAATAACAATTGTAAGGTAAATACACCAAACCCTCCTTCTCTGCATGCCAAATAAGGTCTTCATGACTTCAGGATGCTGGGATGCAGCTCAGGGTCCAACAATATGCCACCTTAACCTCTACAGTTTGTGTCTGTCAGCAATCCTGAAACACGTGTTCCTCTATCTCCAGCATACTTAAGTGCAAAATTATGTCACATTGTCCTGTTTTGCATTGCTATTTTATTAGCAAATATTTTTTCCCTTTGCTACCACAAAAACCCAATGATTTCCTGCTGCTGAAAACTGACATTATAAAACAAGAAAGAGGAAGGTTTATATCAAAATGAAACCAAACAAATCAATTGCATCAGAACAAGGTGTTCCCAATCTGATTAATAAAGACAGCAGTGTGTGTTCATATTTCTTCCAAAATTTTGACTTAAATAAGCTAAAATATATATGAAGTACATACAACTTACCAATGTACAGATTTTGCCCATCCCTACTTTCACTTGGCAGCATTTTCAGCTGATAAATTTGGTTTATCTATAGGTCTGGGATTTGGAGTTCTACTTCTAGAGAATAGTCTATGGATCTACTTGGGCAAGATAGGACATAGTAAAAATTACAGTACTGGCACATTAAGGAGCCCTGCATTTTATGTGGAATTCTACCAGTGCATTTCATAATAATTATTTTTCAACTAATTTTTTTGCAACACCACTAAGTTGTATCTCACTTTAGTCTCTGATAATGAAACAAGAAAGGAATTTCCTTCTGTCATAGTCAGTTCTGCCTGCTTTACCTCTTGCAACAACTGTACTGAAATCACAAAGAAATAACAAAAACTCTTTCTAGTGAGGTGAACATGAGTTGTCCTGTAAAGCTTGGTTGTACTTAAGTATTGAGTAATAGTCTTAGCACTTGTGCAACTTAATGACTTATAATCTTCAAAGCACTTTACAAATCTTAACTAGTTAATCCCCACAGCAGCTCTGCATGGTAGGCTGTGAAGGTCACACATTAAAAATCTCCCATGATACAAACTTGACTGCATAGTAAGCCTATGGGAAAAATTATCTGTACAATTATGTTCCTGAAGTCATGAGTGTTTAATTTTACTGGATTGTAATATGGCTTACTTTCAGTAAATTTGTTTTGCTTTCTTATCCCACTCAAAGAAAATCCATTACACCCTGCAGCATGGCTCAGCACACAGTATTATCAAAATTTTGAGGATTTTGTTATTATTAAAACTCATAGAAGTAAATAAGAAGTAGAGGATATGAATTTTATTTAAGAAATCAAGTTTCTATTGCCAGTGATTACAAAGACCATGTATAGGAAAAGGTAAGAAAGTCCCTAAAGACTGAAGCACTCAGGACAGTAACTACCATTTTTCACAATTTCTTTTGAAAATTTGACTTTTGTGATATTGAGATTGCCAAGCAAACAAAATATACTTATACTAAATTTCACTTTAGAAACCCCAAAATAGCATGGTTTTTTCTAGATCAAATTTGCTTTGGGTTTTCATGTTGCAAAAAAAAAAAAAACAAAAAAAAAAAAACTGAATAGTTGCTGCAAAAGAATATTATTTCTTTAGGTTTTGCAGGTCTAAAATTTCCCATGAAGTGGAGCTACTGCTTTTAGTTCACTGTAGAACTATCATAAACACCACTGCTTCCATCTGCTAGTAGTTCTCATGGAAAACTTTTTGAAACAACATTACAGTTTGACAGTAACATTATAATTCTATGTGAAGACCAAATTCACCAACCAAAGATGTAAGTCATTAGCTCGTAACTACCTCTCAAGCATCTGCATAGAAAATAAGCCTCTCAAAGGTGTTTATTCTTTGTACTACTCATTGTAGAGAGGAAAAAAAAATCAGACTGATGAGGCCTTCTTCCAATGAAGCAGACATAAAGTAGAGTTTTTGCCACAAGCTTAAAAAAAATAATCAGTTTTCCAGACTGTCTACTGCGACACTGCAGCCATAATTATATATAAATACAGCAGGATCCTTCCCATCCAAGGCACCAGGCAACTTAATGCTGCCTTTTGCTTTCAAGTACAACTGTCTCTTTGTACAGCTTGTAATTTGAGAGATGATCCTTTGTAATAAGGAAGCTCTGTGATATCATGAAGACTGACCTCGATTCCTTACTTCCCTACTGCTTCAACCTGGAAACTTTTATTTCCTTGGGTTTCCTTGTCTTTTTTCCCTTGCTTTATTTTTACTCCTTTTTCTTTCTTTTTTTTTTTTTTTCCTCGCCTTTGGAGAAAAATCACAAATAACCTTTGAAGGAATAATTAGCAGTTCCTGTAACCGTATGGGGGTTACCCTTACCTGATTGACTGCAAAAGGTTATCTAAGGGTAAAGGTTTCAGACAGACCAGGAAGAGAGCAATCTCCAGATGAAAGATGATAAGGGATGAGCACAAAAGAGATGCTAGAAAGTAAAGGAATAAATGAATGGGAATGCAAGAGGCAACATAATTAGCCAGTCTTACATGCTTGCCACTACATAATTTCAAATGTTCCAAATGGAGCCTGGTATTCTGCAGAGAAACTCATAATTAAGTACAGGGTTGCAATACACAGGCACAAGAGGTCTGAATTAAGGTTTCATAGGCAGCCTTCTGGCTTTCCCAGTGTTTGGTCACTTAATTTAATGACCTAAATCCTTTTTAATATAGAAAAAAATATCTTAATGAGGTCTTTTAATTGTTTAGAGAGGAGGGGTTGCTACAGACTGCAGTTTATTAGGTAATTGTAGATGCATAGTACTCCAAAGGAAAAGGTATTCTATTTTCATTCTGCCTAAATTTGTATGATGAGACCATGATGAGACCTTAATAAATGTAGGGGTTGGCTTAGCCTTAATTAAAAAAAGGGTTTTTCTTTCCTAAAGTGTATTAAGCTACATGACTAACATATATTTGAAATGCATCAGAAGCACAAAGTCTGGAGAGAATCTACAGGACTGATACATAATTCTAGTTTTAAGGAACATCCAGGAAAGATTAGGTGGTAAGGGAAAAGGCTGTGTGAATTGCCCACAGTAGAGTTTTATGAGTCTACATCATAACCTTTTTCTAAGAAGCTTGAATTTGAGGCAGTTATTTCAAACTGAAGAGCTTTTAAAATAAGTAAATTATGTCAACAAATAACATAAGGTGATAATAACACTTGAAGAATTTTACCTGAAGGAAGAATGAGGCATATATGGCATCATCTTCCAAAAAAGGTATCTGAAAGAGCCTGGGAATGGCAGACCCTGATTTGTCTGCCAATTTAGCCCTCACTATATTACAGAATTAAATTAGCAGAACATACATGGAAGTATGGCATAACAGGGACAAGTCAACACAATGTTTGCAAAGGACATTCATGTCTTTCAAATTAGTCAAAGCTCTTTGAAGCTGTTAAGAAGGCTAGTTATTAATCTAGCTGTTGAATTCCTTCATAATGGAGACCAAGAGTTTCATCCTTACTCCATGACTTTGGTACATTTAATAGAATATTAAGTTTATGTGTTTTCACTGTGCTTATTCTCATCTTGTTCTTAAAGTCTTCCCCTGAATATTTTCATTCAGGTGGGATTGTCAAAATAACGGGAACGCATGTTATTGAGTAATTTTGTCAGTCTTGAAAATCCCATCAATACACAGTCATGGTCCTCATAATCCTGTCTTCATGTCTTAAAACTGATTTGAGCAAAAGACTACCTGTAATAGTAAATAGTTCAGTACATTCAGTACTTTGTGCAACGTTGTGCTGAATTCCCTGCCTGTCATATTGGCTGGTATTGTTTCATTGCATTTTTCTTTATCTGTAATCGCTTGTCCATAATTTATAAGTTCTTGGGACAGGACTATCTCTTTAGCTCATGTTTATAGTGCTAATTGTATTGGGGTGCATGGCTGGTTTTTTTTTGCACTTGTGCAATAAACACCTCTAAGTATACAAAAGTATAGAAACGATCTGCCATTTTTAGACTGCTTTAATAGGAATCAGTGCGGGAGTAGGGGAAAAAAAATATTCCCTCTCAAGAGTCACGAGATGGGAAGACTTGCAGACAGGACCTAGTCACAAAGGTTAGCTTTGCGCTTAACCTTTAAATGACAAAGGCTAATCTTCCTTGGCCGCCTTTGCCATCAGCAGACAGCGCGGCTCCCATCACCCTCAGTTTACAGGAGCTCGGGGACCCTGTTCCTTCCCCCCACAGCAATCCCCACTTCCCTGACGGAGCATCCCACCGCCACCGTCATCTCCATCAGCACCGTCCTTCTCGCAGAAGCCGCCCAAGGGACCAGAGAAGACCGCAAGGAGAAGAGTTAACAGGGAATTGATAACCCGGCCCCTTTTCTGTCTTACCCCGCCTCCTGCCGCTTGCGGGGAAGTGAGGGATCAGGAGGCGCCGAGCGGGGGTGGCCCCGGCGGAGAGGTGCGGGGAGGGCTCCCCTCCGCGCCGCTCCGCCGGGGGCCCCGCGGCCCGGCCCGGCTCGGCCCGGCCCGGCCCGGCCCGGCCCGCCGAGCGCCGCCCCCGCCGGCGGGCATGGAGCCGCCGGCGCCCCGCGGGAGCAGGTGAGCGCGGCGGGAGGGAGCGGGGCGCGGGGGGATGCGCAGGGCAGCCCGCTCCGCCCCGGGCCGGCCTCGGGGGCAAGGAAAAACCCCACCCCGACCGCACACACACACACAAAAAAAAGCGTCGCGGTACGTTTCTGCAGGTTGAGATGATCGTCTTAAAAACGCTGCCCGCAGAGCCGGGAGTCGCCCCTCTGGCGCTGACCCAGCCCGAGAGGGAAGGATTTGGAGATTGAAGTGATTTTTTTTACACACGTGCGGTGTCCCCGCTCCTCCCGTGTCACATTTTAATTGAACGGAGCCGCGGGTTGCAGAGCTGGATGCTAGAGCTGAATTTGGTGTAGCACTTGGGGAGGGGAGTTTTTACGAAACGTGGCGGGGGGGATTTACCACGGCAATAGTAAGTTTCTCCGTGGTCGCCTGATTAGTTAAAAATTAAGTACGCGCTGTGTGTTGGCAGACAGTCCTAAGCAATGACCGGGAGCAATCCTAAGCGGTAACACTTCATGATTATTTTCTTCTTTTCCTAGAGGATTCTAAAGACTGAGGTATTGCCGCCACACAGGGCTCTCAGCATTGCAGAGTGTTCGCTGCTTAACGAATGTTTGTAAAGGGATTTTCATTCCCGCTGAGCATCAGTGGGAGCAGCCAGAGCTCAGGGAATCAGCTCACCCGTGCATTTTCTTTTGCAAAGAATTTCTGGCAGAATTCAGCAGCCCTGCTGTGTTGACGTAGTGCACAGGATAAAATTCCTTGCTGATACAGTTGCTCAGGTGAAGCATGCTTCTGGAGTTTATGATTATGTGCATGAGACTCGAGAAAGACATAGGAAAAGCATTCAGCAGCCTCTCCATGAGCAACAGAAATGGTCCTTTCAAGACTTTTTCCTGCCCATTGATGGACTCCAGAGGGTTGGTTTCATTTTAGTAATTTGTTTTCAGTCTAGTACATAAATATATTTATTTCAGTAATATATGCTATTTATAGACCATGTCTTTGAACAGAGTTTGAAATCAGCCCTACATCGAGGGATAAACACTTCCCAGGCAAACTCTCAGATTTGCAGGTATTATATGATCCATTCCAGATGGATAAATCGGAATATCGGACAGTAGAAGCAGTGTAAGGCTCGGTCTTAAAAAGTATATTTTGCGAATTCCTGCTTTTAGTTATTATCAATAGGCTACCTGAGGTCAGTAAGGTGATTTATAGGTATAAAGTTAAGCAGATGTCCACATGTTTGCAGTATCAGGGCCAGTTCATAGGTCATAATGGCAATGGAATACTCCTGTGTGACAGAAAAACATGGCTTGAGGGCCACGTCTCTTGGATTTATGAAGATTAAAGAGATTGAAAAATTATTTCATATTTCTGTATGCTTGTGAAATAATTTTTAAATGAAAGAAATAAGAGTAAAGACAGTGATATTTTAAAAATTTGTATGTACCTTCATAAATGGACATAGGAATATTAACTGAATTAGTGGGAGAAAAAGAATCTAATTGTTGAAAAATAAGATAAATGCTTGTGTCAAAGCCAGGCTTTATGTAACTGACTTAAACTCATGTGACACAGAATCCTGGCCGATTTTTTTTTTGTCAGAAAAGTTTAAGCGAAACACAGTTGGACAAAAGGCACTGTATTACTTGGTTTATGTTTTGCTGTTGAAAAGTATTCCATTTTGAAGATAACTTTACATTCACATCAACATGTAATAATTTCAGAGAAGTTAATTATGTACAGCCCAAATTTCTTCTAAGCTAATATTTATTTTGATGCTCCAAATATTGATGTTTGTAGATATCAACTTTTTTCCCCTGTCATACAATAATTTCCTGATTTAGAAAAAAAAAAAATACACCTAAACAGGCCACGGGATTAAAATTATTTCCAAATAGAGAACTTCAGTAGTGTTTATATGAAATTTCAGCTCCCCCCAGGGAGCCTTTCCTTTCCATGCTGATGAAGAAAAATTGTGTTTTTCAAAGGCCTTTCTCGTCTTTAAAATAGAGGGCTTAGACTTCACAAGTTATGGGAAAAGGTATCACTCGTACTATAATGCATTTAAAAGGAAATAATCTTTGAGTGAAAGTCTGGTGATTTATGAAAACAAAGGATCTTTTCTAGGGATTTTGACTACAGCACCACTAGACCTTCACACTGCTCAGCCTACTACAGTTACCACTGGAAGGAGCCATCGGTGACAGACACTGCACAGAGGGTTACGCCTCAAGCTTTCAGGAACAACATAATGCAGTTTTTCTGTGTCTAGGTCTAAATCTGAACCCTGATAGGATTACTGGTGTATCTTCAGGAGCCTTTGTCAGCTGCATAAACACCCAGTTACTATTAGAGAGTACTTAGGACACTTTGGAGCTCTAGCCTCGAAGATATATGAGACACCTTTTCTTTTTCGAGAAATAAATATAAATACCTGACTTCCTATAACTAAAACTTAACAAAAAACAAAAACAAAAACAAAAAAACAAAACAGTGTATCAGTCAGATTTTCTAGTTTTGTAGGATAAACAAAAGTCATACCGGCTTTGATTTCATTTCAGTGGCCATCTACTGAGGTAACAGTACCTAGTACTGTCTACCACAAGATCTGTTCTTTTAAAACTGTATTTGGCAAGTATGCTGAATACTGAATACATTTGTATATGAATATTTTAAGATAGGAAATTATATGCTCACTTGTAATAAACGTGATAATCAAGAGTAGTTTATAAAATGTATCAAGAGAAACCACTTTTCTCGTTCTGTAATTACTGTAATTGATTATACAACATTTTAAATCTCGAGATCAAAGGGAACCACTGGCAGTCTCCATTTTAGATCCTCCTTGATAATATGCTACTTATCTTTCTGTCTCTGAGATTTCAGCAGAAAATATGTTTTCAAGTAATTGAATGTCTTAAGTCAGTTTGTAAATAATTTTAAATGGGGAGGTTTTGTGTATTACAGCAAGTACCATGTAAGTACCAACAGTGATGAGCTCTATGACTGAAAAAAAGGAGAATTATACCACATTTAATTTATATAAATTATTATATATATAAAAAATATATATATTAATTTATATAAATTAAAGCTAATCCAACTGAAAATAGTACTCTAAATGCAAACCCAGAGTGTGAAAACACAGAAGAAATTTAAAAACCTGTAATTTGAGAACTGTAGAATGACATTCAGGAATAAAATATTCCTGTGAATATCCCTTGGCCTAAACAATCAAGACAAATGGAGAGGATACTTAGAATGACAACAGTACTTGTAAAAGACCACCTTGACTGATTCATCGGGGAAGATGGAAAGTACTAAATATTTAATGCTTGCTTAACTGCTGGAAAATGAGGAGACATGATAATTGCATACAAATGTTTGAGACAAACAGTGACCAAGGAGAAAAAATAGCTGCATTTAAAGCTTATGGGTAGATTGGCATGGTCAGGGGCTTTGAAATACTGATGCAGGGTACAGAGTATTTCCTGACAGGTGCTTAATTGACTTAGATTTTTAAAACCCCATTGGTAGAAGCTCCATGTCCTACCCAGTCCACAGTCATTTCCCGTGCCTGTCTGTCCATCTGCTTTTGTTTAAAGTGCCCTATCTGCATCTTCCATGTTGTAGCTTAAGCTAGTGTCTTTTGTCTTCAGTTTTGGTAAACAGATATTTCCCTCCACTTTGCAATAGCCCTTCTTGTTATGAGATGGTCCTCTCTCATTCTGGACCAACACTTTGAAACAAATTTCTTTCTTCAGGATTTACGTGATTTCTGATCTCCTAGATATATACAGTATCCCATAATTGTTCTCTTAATTTATTCTTGCTTGAAGTTGAACATAATGCTCAACCTGACATACCAGCAGTGCTGAATGTAGGAGAAGGAAAATCTTATATAACTTGCCTTATTTCTGTGTGCTGATCCTGTTTTGTTTTTTTTTTTTTTCCTTTTCTTATTTTTTGGCAACAGTATATTGCTAAAACCATCATAACAACATAACACGTATGGTGTTAAATCTGCGAAATGTTATATGTGGCCCAGATCCACTTCTGCAGAGCTGCTGCCAGTCATCCCATCCTCCCTCCTTTAGTCTTTGTGCAGTTGGTTATTCTTATCTAAAAGTAATGCTTTGCTTTTGTCTGTTTTGATCTTTTACACATTTGAATTCTGTTACCATTATCCAGTTCATTTGGACCCTGATGGTTTGGTCTGTCTGCAAGTATCATACAAAAAATTATTGAGGACTGTCCAAAGCATATTTCTGGGCAGGTTTGCTGAGGGTATCCTTCCAGTCTGATAGTGAATTTTGATAACTACACTCTAAATATTCTCTTCAAAATGGTACAAACTGTACCATTCTAGTGTAATTTCTAAAATCTAAAACAACTGTCCCTAATTTTTTTTTACTAGAGTATGATGAGACCAGGGATTGTACATGTTGCCCTCAGTTTCTCAAAACTAATTTCTTGTGACTCCGAGACTGTCTAACCCGAAACCAGCGCAATCAGTTCCCTACATACTGTTTATTAGGCTAGTTTAGAAAACTCTGAAATTAAAAGCCCCAACCTACTCTCTCCCTAAGTTCTTATCCCTTTGTCACTGATGTATTGACACCTGGTGGCAATTAATATGAGCAGTGAAGAAGAAAATCCTAAATACTTTGCTCTTCTCAGCACTACTTATTATTAGACTTTCCTTCCTGCTTAGTAGGCCAAATTTTTCCTAGTCCCCACTTCTCCTCTGATGCCTGTACAGAGTGTTTCTGTGCAGGATCTGAAGATCCACATCAGTGCACATCCAGCATCACGGGTTTTTGACTGTGTAGGACTTCAGTAGGAAGGGACTCAGTGCTGGGAGGCGATTTG